GAGTGGGGAAGGTAGGGATAGAAGGGTGATCGAAGGTACAGTCAAAGAGGAGGGTCTTGAGACTAGCCTTGAAGGAGGCAGGAGAGGGTGCAAGGCGAAGGGACAGTTGGATGAAGTTCCAAAGGGTGAGGGCAGAGAGGCTCAGGCACAAAGGGTGGGGCGGGTCGAGCGGGGAACATGAAGCATGCCGGAGCCCAGTGAGTGGTGGGATCGGACAGCTCTCCATAAGGAAATACATTGAAACTGAAGCATCACATTTTTAAGGCAGCACTTGATTTTCAGTTTCTCAAATCCTACATCAGAGAATCATCATAGAATCATAGAATTATACAGCACAGAAGGAGACCATCCAGCCCATCGTGTCTGTGCTGGCTCTTTGAAAAGACCTATACAAATCAATCTCACTCCCTCACTCTCTCCCCATAGCCCTGCAAACTTGTCCTCCCCAAATAATTATCTGCCACATTGGTGGCTAATTTACTGTATTACTTTTTCCTAATCAGAATGTTTCTCCATCAGCTTAATTTCTCTCTGGGTGAAACTGCATTACTGACTCACATAAAGATTGGGAGAAAGCAGGTACATACCTTGAGAGAAAAGTGCCATGAATACAAATCTGGAAACAAGATAGAGAAAGGAATAGAGAACAAAGCGTGTGACATCAAAGCATATAAAGGCTGAACGGATCTGACAGGAATTGAGGTGCAAACAAATCAAGAGTAGCCAAGCAAGAAAGGAACTTAGAATCATAGAAAATGCAGAACAGTAGGAGACTATTCGGCCAAAGGAGTCTAAGCTGGTTACTGCTCTTTTACCAAAGCTATATATTCTCGTCCTAATTCCCTGGTCGTTTCCGCAGAGCATCTTATATTGTTTCTCTTCAAATATTTATCCAATTCTCTTTTAAATGATGTTATGATCTTAGCTTCACTAGCCAGTTGTAGCCAAGTGTTCTCTGTTCTAGCAGTGATCTATGTGAAAAACATTCTTCTATTCTCTCACATAACACTTCCAGTGACAATCATGAACTTATAACCACAACAACAACTTATATTTATATAGCGGTCTTCACACAGGGCAACGCTTCAGAGTGCTTATTACTCCCTCCCCCCTTTATGAGTTCACTAGCCAGCAGGAATGATTTTGGAGTATTTATCATCTGAATAAACTTTGAGAATTTTTGAGGACCATTTGTAGACCTCTATCCTCTTAACACATATAGAATTACAGAGACTCTACAGCAAGGAGACAGGTTGATTCGCCCAACTAATCTGTGTCAGTGTTTATACTCCACATGAGTCTCCATCCCTCCTAATCCCATCTCTCTATCTCTCTATTCCCTTCTTCCTCATGTACGCATCAAGTTTCCTCATAAACGTGTTGATGCTTTCTGTCTCAACCATGGTTTCTGGCAGTGATTTCCACATTCGCACCACACTCTGTGTAGCAGAATGGACCAGCTGGGCTTAAGTATTCATTTAGCATTCCTGCCATTTCTATATCACCTCCTGTGACATTATCCCTTCACCTCTTAGCAGTCCTACCTCTACCTCAACTGGTCTATTTCTAACGTATCTCTAGAGCACCTTCTTATGTTTCTTGATATTTTCTTTCCATAATTCTTCTTTGTCATCCTATTCTTCATAAACTCTTTGCTAAGTTTCCTTATTGACTTCTGCTTTCCTCTCTGATATCCATTTTGTAATTTCCTTATGTTTATTCTTGGAGTCAGATTTGAGTTTCGCACACAAGAGGATGCGGGTTTAGGCAAGTTTCCTTACTGAACATGCTTCTGTTTACCAGAACCCAGTTAGTAGGAACCCAGTTGTTAGTCGATTAGCGGATCACTTTCCAGGAGTAATAATCCCTTTTAAAAAAATAATAATAATTTGGTCACCCAATCCACAACTGTTTGTGAGACCCTGGATGCGCAATTGACTGCTGAGTTTCACCCATAAAATATACAGTCAATTACTTTACAGCATATTCTGTGAAGTGCTTTGAAACACCTCAACAACGTGATAAAGTGCTATATCAAATGCAAGAATTATTGTTATTAATCATCTTTGTTCTAGAGAAAACAGTCTTTTGAACTATACATAACTATGAATCCTCATTCCTAGTATAAACTTGCATCCACAATATTTTGCATTTATATAGCACATTTTACTTGAACAAATGCTTAAACTCAGCAATTGCTATGTGGAGACCATGCAGTGAAACCAGAAATTTAGAGATGTTCACCAAAGACACTAAGGGTTAAATATATATACTTAGGAGCAATATGGAGGCAAGTAGAATTTAGGCAAGCTTTCTTGCACCGTTTTTATAGGGACATATTAATGCGTAGGATCAGCAAAGACCATTGTGAGCTATTTGCCGATCAAAACAAAAATAAATTTACCATATTTCCCATGCCTCTCAATTAATTTTATGTTAATTACAGAAGTTATTCATTGATACGATATTCCTCATTTTCAAATCTGTGCACAGACTCACTGCTGTGCGAATGACTGTTTCTGAGCTGTAATATTCTGTGTAATCTCCTCCAGCTCGTACCCTCCACTCTTAAAACTGGTTTGTTATTCCTGCTCCAATCCTGCCTCTTTTATCACCATTGATCCTATCTCTAGTTCTCTCTTGCACATCCACCCCTCTCTCTCCTTCGAAAAAAATTCCTAATTGGGCAGTGTCTTTGGTCACCATGTTATTTTCCTCAATTCTTCCTTAGTGGCCACCGGTCCCATTGTTAAGCCCTTGAAGAATTTATTTTATCTGAACACAAACACGCAAATTGTCATTGGACAGATGATACTGTTGAATAGGACAGAATATATTAGCAGTGAAAAAATCTGAAGGACAGCTCCACAAGCAGTAATGAATGAAGCGTGCATACTTTGGGGAGCTTCACCGTGCCAGAAAATATTCTGATTGTCATTTCAAGCCAAAACAGTGGTGCAATTGTAAGTCCCAAGATATTGGAAGCTGCTTCCTTCATTAGTAAGAAGATCCTACAGTGTCAGTCTGGTTCAGTTAGTTGTCCTCTCACCCCATATGACAGAACGTTATGGGTTTAACCTGTTGTCGCAGCCTGAGTATCAGCCGACTGTGTAATGCATTATTGGCTGCATTGTCAGAGGTGCAATCTATCAATGGAATGTTGAAATATGCTATTAAAGCCCAGTTTTCCTTTTAACACTCAATATAATAGACACTAACGTGTTCAGAGACATCCCAAGCATTATCTTCTATTTATCAGATTGATGGTACATTTTATGCAAAGTTGTGCAGTTTTACAGGAGGCTAGTTAATGGGCTGTGTGATATTTTGTTTGCAGCTTATTTTTCTGTCTCCTAAATATCCTATGAACAACAACAACTTGCATTTATATAGTGCCCTTCACATAGAATAGCATGCCAGAGACTACAGAGCTACGGAACATCATTTGAGTGATAGTACTTTCAGAGGAGGATACAACCTTAACCCCACAAGTGAGATTTAGTGTGGTCAAGATCTAAGTAAGACAATTATGGCAGTACTTTCAGCAGTATCAGAATAATTGATATATACAGAAAAAAATGAACCAGATCAACCCGTGTCATATCAGTGCATCTGAAAAACCTTTTAATAATATTGATTTCACTGTGATATTGATTCAGCTGACATAATGATGAATAATTTTGGAAAACAATGAAAAGTTGAGTAGGGCAGCTTAATAAGATGTGCAGACTGTGAATTAACAAGCAGTGACATAGTTATAACCGGTGGCTTTCTAACATTGAGCTTCAGCTTTGAGATAAACACTTTGGCTACTGCTGCATTACTTAATATTCTAGTAAACTGAAAGAAATTAAGCCTTTTACATATTGTTGTCTAAGTGCAATAGGTGAGGAATTAAATAGAAACAAACTGCAAAGATTTATTTTGAAAAAGCAATGTACATTCTCAGTACAAATATGAGTACAGGGGCATGGAGATGTGGAATGCATTGTACTGTATTGCACATGAGAAAAGATTCGGCAATTATATTAAGTGTGGAAATTATGGAGAAATCCTTTGTCATTAAAGGTTTAAGTACAGAATGCGATTGGAAGAGGTTGACACTCCCCAAAATACTTTTCTTTTAAACAACTGACCTTTACGTGAAAGTAATTAGCAGAAATACGTATAAGGTTAGATTCAGTATGCGGTAAAGAAATTCAGTTACCTTGTCAATTCCAGTAAAAATATCTTTGGCAAATCCCAGTGAAAGAAAAATTAGGATACGTTCTACTTTCAGTTTTAAAGTCTATTTTGCTGGATCTTTGCATTTTCACTAAAAGCTTTTAGGATTGAAAACCATTGATTGTTAATTTTTATTGCCGGTATTGACTTATTTTCAAATATTTCAAAAGTCTTGCTTGGTGATGTGTTCTTTTTTGTATGACAGATATTTATGTGAGCTGTGCTAATTGCAATGTATGCTCATCATTCTATTTCCACTGTTCAAAGGAATCGAAAGATGTTTTGTAAAAAAAAGTTCAGACTGATTTGCGAGCACAATGAGCACATTTATAAGATGCCCATCCTTTCACTGGAGCTCTTATGAGCTGTAGTTATAATTACTCTTGAAATGAATGGCACAAATTTTTGCAAGCGATTCTCTGAGAAATATGCAGTATAAATTAAGATTGAACGTGCGGTCCACTTCAAGCAGTATAAATCAGGAGTTAATTTGCACTGTGAAAGTACTTTTTAAATATATTCAATAACAACGCATAATTACGGCCAAATTACTCTTCTGTTTATTTCTACGGGTGGTATTTGCTCCGAAATTAACAGAAATATTTGGCAATCATTCTTTAACATTTAGAAATTACTGATGAAAAACAAAGGAATTGTGATTTTGCTTGTTTACTCATGTTTTGCAAATTTACAAAATTAGTCATTTTTCCTTTTAATTCACAAAGCAGCATTTCAAATGTCAGTCACCTCTTAAGTATTTCATTTTGTTATTAAAGTTGACCTGACCTTGGTTAAGCCAGAAGATAACTGTATTTACTTATGCGGACACTCTCTTGGACTGCAACACAAGAAGGCCAAGGTGTACTTGGATGAGGAGCTTGAAAAATGGGCGAAAATGTAAGTAAAGTCACATTTAATAGGTAGACTTGTTGTATCGTATCAAAACTACCTTATCTGCTGTACTGTTGCAGCAAGGGAGCAAGATCCGCATTATGAGAATGTACATTGCATAAACTCAGGGTGCGCTTACAAATTGAATAACCTCAGCCATTGCAAGGTATTATCAGTAACCTAATCTAATGGATCATTTGTGCACCAAACTTTGACCACTACGTCAGCACTCTCCTGATTTTGAAAAGTACCATGGGATCTTCAATATTCACCTGAACAGGCAGACACTGAGGATCTTGCTTTCAGATCTCATTTGTAGGACGGCTGACAATGCAGTACTCCCCCAACTCAGTAGTGGAGTGTCAGAGAAACCACAGTGCCATTAATGCATGTCGTTTTCACTTCAAACATTACTGACTGTATTTATCTTACAGAGGTGTTCATGGCCATTTCATGGGTTCTCGGCCTTGGGCAACAGGAGATGAATGCATCGTTGATCTCATGGCTAAAGTAGTTGGTAAGAGATTTAGTTCTTCCTAATGATGAGAAGCTGACACTAATCATTTGTAACTGAGTTGCTTTTTGATTCAATCATTAAGATTATATATGAGTAATGTGTGAAGACGGTTGTGCACTTGTAATATTTTAGCTGGCCCATTTGACCGAATTGGAATAACTCTACTCATAATCTGAATTTGTGCCTTTTAGTCGGTGTCATTTATTTTCAGGATGTCTTGGACGTACATTATGCCATACAGGACCAGTAACACTGCATTTTGTATTATCTTCAATTGCACTATAAATCTGCCAAGAAGATTGAGCACAGGTGCTTTCATAAATGAAAATGTTTCCTTGACTAGTTTTACCCTCTCTCTTCTTTGTTGACACTTTGAACTATCTTTCAAAGAAAATCTGATCTAAAATTCACATTTCAATTGATGATATCACAATACTCATATTTCTGTTTTGTTAAGAATTGTTCAAATAATTCCAAATCATGTTTGGGATTTTTTGTCCCAAAAAAGTAAACAAAGGAAAGGAATTGTCTCATTACCCAACTGTTATGTAGTTGGGAATTGAGCTTAAATATTTTACTCTGGTAAGTAATAATGATATAATCCTTTTGTTTGATATAGAGCCCTTCAGGAGTGTATCTCAAAATGCTTTACAGGAGTTATTGCAAAGTGCATTTTGTATTTTGTAAGCAAATGCAGCAGCCAATTTGCTCACAGCAGAGGCCCACAAATAGCCAGGTCCAATTTTCTCTGGAGGATTGGTAGCACGTATAACAGGAGAAATTTCCTTCATTTTCTGAATAGTACCAAGAGACCTTTAATCTACCTGCTCAAGCAGACTATTCAACTGATATGTATTGATCTTGGAGAGGCTACCAAGAATTTACTGTCGTTTGGTTGTGTGAGTTTCTAAAAAAAGAGCTGTGGGATTAAACACTACTCCCTTTCATGATACCAGACTTTTTTTGACCCACTTTACCTAATAATGCTAAAAAATATGTTTGTGGAAAAGCAAAAAAAGTTTTTTTATTAAAAGTTAGAACTGGCTTCAGTGTTCTTGTTGTTAGCCACTCATCCTATGTCCTTTGCTGCCAGGATGGACTGCAAATGTTCCTGCATATTCTTAAATTTCTACTGTGTTTGGTTTTGGGCATTTGTTTCCACTAACCTGAATATTCCCTGTGTTTTGGGGCTCATTGTCTATACCTCCCAACTTTACAGAGACTGATCCCTTCTTGGCTTAGAAACTCTTTTCCCCTTGTCCCATTGGTAGTGATCAGGTGCTCAGTTCCCAGCCCTCTGGTCATATGGGTGCATGCACTCAGCCCGCGCTTCAATGTAAATTCAAGCACACAGGTTTGTTGTCCTTTGAATCCGAGAGGTTCATCTCCATGGAAACTGTGGCTCGCAATCAAATTTTGACAGTGCTGACTGCTTTTCCTGCCACTCCTGTCGTCATTTTTTTTTTGTAATTCAGGCCACTTTCCCTTTGGGCCCTGCTGAGCCTCATCTGTGAAAAGACATATGAGGATTGCTGCACTTCTCTCCTTTGCCAGTGCCACCCACATGAGATTCATTAGCATTGAGCTCACGTCCTGCTGCTCTCCTCTTCTCTCCAGCACCCTCTGTCACCTTCATGTTCAAGGCATGAGAAAGAGATGCTCCTTCTCCGAGCCAGTTGAATTAAAATTGGGGAGTGACATTCAAATAGAACTTTCCTCATCTGCTTTCAGACACTTTACCAAGTGAGTACTCTTTTCTATGCTGAGTACTCCTTACGTGCCTTTGTATGGCTTTTACAGAGAGGAATGTAATATACCTGAGGGGTTGCACCAGTTCCGGGTACCGGTACAAAATACACAGTCATTACACTTTGCAGTAAATCCTGTGAGATGCTTTGACACATCCTCACAAAGCGAAATGCCACTAAATCAAATGCAAGGATTAATCGATCATTATTATAGTGAGTGATAAGATTATTTTTCTAAAACCATTTTGACGGTGCTAAATGGTGTTGAATGAAATTAAAATTTGTGATATGTGATAGTTGTCACCAGTGATCCTTATCTCAGGTACTATTTTCATGTCGTCAGAAATTCCTTCCCAGTCACTGAAGCAGTCAACACGATACCTGGATGTGGGTGAACAGCCCCCTCCCCATGTCCTCAAAATGGCTGGATCGTGGCATTATCAATGTTGCTTCAATAGATTGGCTTCAGTTGTTTTCAGTATTGAGAGATTCCTAAAAGCTTAGATGTAGGGAAATCTGGGAAAAACTCAATAGGAAACGTTTCCAATATACTCTCAAATGTCTTGTGTAGCATATGTATTTTTGTGGGCTTGTTTCTAACAGGAGCGCTTTGAACACAGAGCATTCCCAATAGAATTTATTTCCCTTTCAGGAATGAGTGTCAGCCTAGCTCAGTGGAAGCACTCTCGTCTCTAAGTCGGAAGGTTGTGTTTTCATAACCCAAGTTTGCACTTCAACTCACATAGTCTAAGCTGAAACTCCAATAACAGTGGTATGCCACCAAAATTGGAAATTAAATCAGTTTTCAGCTTGAATTAAACTGACTTTATTTTTGTAAATCCGTCATTTCTTGTGAAATACATTAAAAAATTTTGAAACGGCAAAGTTTTAAGAGTTGAGAAGCTATTAACAATTAAATAACAGTTTCTTATAATAATAATCTTTGACTTGAATATCATGTCCCATCACGTCGTTGAAATTTCTCAAAGTGCTTCACAGAATTTTACTGGAAAGTGAAGTGACTGTGCCTTTGTAGGTGTACTTTGCATTTACCCAGAAAATTACAGTATATCCTGTGAAGCGCTTTGAGATGTCTCGGCAATGTGATTTAAAATGCAAAGATTGTTGTAATTATTATTATTTACAGCTGTTCAGAGATCTTGATCGCTAAAGTAGAGATTTTTTCAAACTTGTTGCGGTTTAAAAACCTTAAGTTGCATAGTAGAATTAAAGTAAAGGAATGCTTAATTTGACATCTTTGCTATCATTTCAAAAAAACAAAAACCTTATTTTTCCTGATCACTCCTGTGCAATGATGTTTGCTTCAAGTGAATGCAGTGAGATAGCGTAGATGTAATTAAGGGATAGGTACATGAGGGAGAAAGGAATAGAAGGTTATGCTTGAAGGCTTAGTTGAGGAAGGATAGAGGAGGCTCATGTGCATAAACACCGGCATAGACCAGTTCGGCCGAATGGCCTGTTTCTGTGCTGTATATTCTAATGTCTAATGTAATGTATGAGATTGACACCTCCATCGAAGTGGAGTATTTATTCACGTTTGATCAAGATGTTGCAAATTTAGTGTTCACATTGCATATAGTGTAATAAGATCCTTCTATTGATTGGTCTGCAGTAAAGAGTTCCTTAATTACATTGATTTCCATTATGATGCAGTTGCAATCCTTCTTTCTGATTGTATTGTGGGCGTCCTTTGTGACCCACAGAGGTGGAAAATGTCATGCTTTACTGTCAGACATTTCTGAAAGGTGATGCTACTCAGTGAGTGGAAGGTCATACTGTCTCGATGGCTCACTTAAGTGGCTGTATATGTGGACCAGATTCCTGTGCAGGCCGAAATCTTTTAAACAGTAAATATTCGATTGTCGGTAAATTTTCTGACCTGGGTGCCGCAGGGGCCCTACAGGGGTTGGGCGCTTCTTGGTTTGAGTTTATAATGGAGACGTCCTGGCCAACAATCCCTCCCAAAAATAAAATTGATCATTCACTTCATTGCTGTTTGTGGGACCTCACTGCCTGCAAAATGGCTGCCGTTTTTGCCTACAAAATACACAGTCATTTCACATTGCAATATATCCAAAAAATTTTGAGATGTCCTCCCGCATTTACCAATACAAGGTTATGATTACGTTAGGCCCCAGTTTCTGAGGCCGGAGCACGAGCCAATTGAAAAGAGGATAAATTGAAGCATCCAGGAAGATTGTAACAAGAGATCATGTCAGTTGATGGCGGGTAATTTATAAAGGTGCACCAAATAAAATCGTAAAATGATTTAGTACCCAAATTAAATTTATAGAATAGACATCAGAAAGGCAGAGTTAAAATTAGAGGAACTTAGGAGCAGGAGTAGGCCATTCAGACCCTCAAGACTGTTCCGCCATTCTATCACACCATTCTATACCTCAACTCTACTTATTATTATGTTTGAAAAAGTGACACCCATAACAGGGAAAATACTGCAGAACTATTTCTGGTGTTAAATTTGCTGAACCATGGAGTCAAATGTGTAAATTGGCATCTTAGTGGCCTCACATTTTTTAAATGACAGAAAGTGTACAAGTCTTTGTTGAGCATTATTTTATTGGAATGAAGCTAAGTGTGCCAGTTAGATATGAAGTGAATATAATTGCTCTTTGAAATGCATTTCTGAAACCATTGGTGTGCTGTCAAAAGTCATTCATTTAAATAGGAAAGCATTATTCGCTTCACGGTGGGAAAAATATTGTTCACCCAACTCCCATTGAATAAAATCACATTCGTTGAGTTAAATTTGTAGCAAGTACTGCCAAATGAAGAAATAATAATAACAATAATCCATGCATTTGATATAGCACCTTATCACATCTTCGAGACGTGTCAAAGTGCTTCACAGAATATAATATCGAGTGAATTAACAGTATATTTTTGTGAGCGAAACGCAGCAGCCAATTGCACACAGTAGTGTCTCACAAACAACTGTGGATTGAATGATCAGATTATTATAATATTTTAAAAGAATATTAGCCCTGGAAAAAACAATCCACCAATCAACTAACAACTGGGTTCCTAATTACTGCTAGGTAAACAGAGGTGCTTGGAGTAAGGAAACTTGTCTAATGGTTCACCCTACCCAGGAAGCAAACCTTGGTCCTCTAGCTTCCGAGGTGAATGCTCTAACCAATGCCCTACAGGACTCCACAAAATTCAGACACCCTATTCCACTATGACTTTATGCAAGTATAAATGTTCTCATCAACCAGCCTCATTGAAGATAGATGTGCTACAAGATGGTTGAATGTCATGTAACTGTCAAACGTAGTGTGTTTTCTAATCTCTACTGAGCAATGAACATTCATTCCTGTCAGAATCTATGGCTCTGAATATTCTATACCAGTAAACTTTCATTTTATTCAATGAAAAAGCAGCTTTACTGATATCTTCCGTGTTCTTTTCTGACAAACAGGCAGTATTTTGTAAATTAGATGAAGTCACTGAATATTGTTGTGACTGAAATGCATTCATTCTACAAACTGATACATAGGGTGTTGCCTTTCAAAATAAATGATAGGAAGACATACTTGATTTGGTTCTAAAAGCCAGATAGTTGTCAGAATGCAAAAGAGATGTTGGCAGTCTGCATTATTTATGAGGGAAAAGCAACAAAGGCCATTGGATCTGTGAGCCTTATTCCACCATTTACTTCCAGGAATCTGTGACTCTCCATATCGGCTTATTTTGAAAGGATTTGTCACACTCTGATTCAAGGTCAAGCTTTAAAACTGTTTTGTTTTAGAAGAGCTTTACGTATTTTCTCTCAGAGTTGAATAATTTGACTTTGTGGGGTTTTAGGTCAGCGCTCATGTGTTTTATGAGGGAACATTAGTGTGCGCTTGATTATCATTTTTCTATTCATTGCGCACGATTTACCGCAAAATTGGATGAACACTTGTTTGCAAAATTCCCCAAATATATTCTCTGACAACCTTGATCCTGCTTCTCAGATGCTATTTAATATCAAGTGTCCATCTGAAGCATTGCTGATCCAATGCATCAAGGATTTTTTTTCCTTTGCTGTCATTTCCATAGAGGAATCTAGTGAGAATCCTTCCAGTGCAGGCGTCTTGAGTTTGCAAATGAGATGATTTTCTGTAAAGAATCTATTAAGAATAAGTGTGTGTGGAGGGTTGGGGTGGGATGGTGGTGGGAGGGGGGTCAGGAGTAAAGCAGGGCCCTCTCGGGCTGAGCTGGTTGCAAGGTGACATGCTTGGCAATGGAATATCAACAACAAATTACTACAACAACAACAACTTGCGTTTATATAGCAACCTTCACGCTGGGCAGCATCTCAGAGTGCTTCATAGTGGCAGAGTCTGACCTCAAGCCATGTGGAGAGGAAAGGAGAGGTGACCATATGCGTAATCAAAAAGGAAGGTCTTTAGGCAGGATGGGAGGGAGCAAGGCGGAGGAATTGAGGGAGAGAGTTCCATAGTTTCAGGGCAGAGTGGCTCAAGGCATGGCCACCGATGGTGGAGTGGAGGTGACAAGGGACGAACTGGAGACCCGAGCCAGGAGGCAGCGGGTGGGGGAGTGGGGTGTAAGCAAATTGGATAGGTGGGAGGTGAAAAAGCATAAATTACATGGGCAAAGTGCCTTTTATGTCGAAAGGACATCCAAGGCACTGAATCGAGCCATCCCTCTGAGTCTTGGTAGTCCGTTTCTTTAGCCAATCGGGTGTGACATTCTCCAAGGCACTCAGCCTGGCTTGTCAGCAGAACTTGGCAGGGTCGCCCTGGGACATGGATTCTTCCTATTAAACTCTTGATAACATAACCCTACAAGCCAAAACCATAACAAGCAAGGCTATCCTAGCTGGACAAGCAGTTGTAGCTTTGCAGACAATGCTGAAAATAGCAACTATGTGGTTTTAGCTGGTTAAACACCAGCAATACCTCAACACACAAATTGGGGTCCGAAGCCTTGGCTCTTGCCAATTTGCACCTTATATTCTCTGGAATTAGGTAAGCAGGGTGTGGTTCCTCCTGGAAGAGAGTGCATATTCCATTCCAGACAGAGGGAAATTTCCGTGTGAAGGTGGTATGTGTACATATGTGGAACTTTCAGTCTGGTTTAAATACTCTTAAGCACAGTGAAGGATTTCACAAGTGTCGGATACTGACCCAAAAAGTCGGATACTGTTGATATCTTTCTACTAAAGATGGTTACTCTCAATACATTTTGAAAATACAAGCTATCAATACATCACATACAGTGCAAAGAATATCTTTGTACTTCTGCTTGCTGGTACCACTCCTGCTATGTACAAATAATAATAAACCTTACATTTGATATAGCGGGTTATCATGTCTGCGAGACATCTCAAAGTGCTTCACAGAATATACTGTAAAGTGAATTGACTGTATATATTGTGGGCAAAACACGGCAGCCAATTGAACACAGCAGTGTCCCACATACAGTCATGGATTGAGTGACCAAATTATTATTTTATTTATTTATTTTTGAAGAGATTATTACCCCGATCCATCAATCGACTAACAACTAGGTTACTACTTACTGCTAGGTCAACAGAGACGGTGGAGTAAGGAAACTTGCCCAACATTTTGCCCTGTTATAAATTATAAATACAAATAGTGTAGATTGATGCTTCATATTCCAGTTGTGCACCTATCTATTCTATAACTTTCAATACATTTTGAACTTCCTATTCTCATGTCTGAATATACAAAAAAAGTCTGCACTGAATGACTTGCTCCCAAATTGTTCAAATACAACCTTGTTTCTGCTCCCTAGTTGTTAATAAAATACAAACTTATGTTAATAATCCTGACACTTAATAAGCTTACATTCAACAAAGCACATTATCACATTGTCAATGTCTCAAAGCATTTCGCAGGATTTACTGTAAAGTACATTGACTGTGTATTTTTCTAGGAGAATGCAGCAGCCAATCTGCACAAAGCAATGTCCAACAAACAGCCATGAAATGAATGACTAATTTTGGGGGGGAATTTTTGAAACTTCCTTTTTTTTAAGCGATTAATCAAAACTTACATTTTAAGTTGCGTTTTTATCAGTGATTGCATCAACAATCTTTAATATTGTATCTCTCAGTTACCATGCACATATGAGTAAAACTCTTCTATGGTACTGTGTAGCTCATCTTGATTCCATTATGCGTAAACTGTATTCAATTGCTGTCCTCATCAAATAGCTATCTAAACAAATAAAGCAGCTTCCATTATACGTTTCTTTTTCCCCGTTAGCATTGCATTAACCAAATATTATTTTCCAGGTGCTAAAACTGAAGAAACTGCGTTGATGAATGGACTGTCTGTGAACTTACACCTACTGCTGGTGAGAGGACATTTAATTTTAAACTGAGAGCACACTTATTATTATTATAATTTCTTTTTCTGAAGAGAGACGGTACCTCATAGACACATGTGCTATGGGCAGTTCCTTATATTGTACTTCATAACGTGGAGAAGTCACCTTGGCAATAGAGAAAAATCATAGAGGCTCTTTGTACCTTTCGTGTAATTAACTTTATGTTACAATTCAAATGTAGATGTGAATAAAATGGAAAGAATCACACCATAGATAACTCGTCATGCCATAGGGTGTGCATCCCTGCCAAGGGCACCCAGCCTTGGCAGCCAAAAGATTGGACCACCCTCCTGTATACCATAACCCTAAACACTGCAACCCAAAGCAGCCATTTAAAAATAAGTGGATACTCACCCCTACCCACAGCCTAAATCAAATTGCTTACAAAAAATGGTACCATTGCTGACCTTCAGTGATTGACAGCTCTGCTCATGTTCTCACTGTCTACTGTCAAACATGGGAGTGTCCAGTTCCCATCGAAAGCTAAGCTCTACACCCAGACTTTTACAACTCTTCATAAAATTCATTTAATTCTGCATTGATCTCGGGCTCTGGTTCGGCTCATAGCATCTCCACTGTATTTCTGGACTGCCACATAGTCCTTTTGATATTGAAGTGCAATCACACAACCATATCCCCTCCTCCCCTACACACTGTCATACTAACCGTAGAAGGTCAAAAATAATTACCCTGATCTCCCTTCCTTTTCTCTACAATAATGACAGTTTTGGGTGCTCTGTAGGTCACTTGCGAATCCCATGCTAATTTTTGTGATGGTGAAAAAAGATTGCAATGAGGGTGCTCGGGTGATATGGAGGAAGAGGACTTGGAAACCATTTTAAATGCATCAATGAACTAGATAAGTACTTGAAAAGAAAAAAATTGCAAGAATATGAGGAGAGAACAGGGAAGTGGGACTGATTTTGCTCTTCCACAGAGCCGGCACTGGCACGATAGTCCGAATGGCCTCCTTCTTTTGCTGTAATATTCTATGATATGATTCTATGAGCAATGAAAGATCCTGTTTCAAATCCTGTTTCAAAAAGACATTTCAAATGTTTTTTTTCCCCCGGCTTGAAATAGTTAAACTGCCTGTGATGTTCTGAAGAACCCCTTTCACTTGAATAATGAGTGTTCACCTTTTACGTGTAGTGATAGCCTTTGTTTCTTTTACAGCTGTCCTTCTACAAGCCAACATTGAACAGGCACAAGATCCTCCTGGAAGCCAAAGCATTCCCTTCTGACCAAGTAAGGAATGATTTTGACCGTCCCCGGAATTAATCAAACGCTTGCATAGGCGTAAATTGTGATTTAGTTGTCGACACTAAGTTGTGTTGCTGAAATGTTTACTACTTGGCTGTCAGCCAGGATCTCAGCTAACTGTAACACAAGATCACCCAGTTTGCATCTCATTACCACCATTGCTTTTTTTTATATATTTCAGATAAAGAATATGCAATTTGATTGATATAGCAGTTCAGCAGCAGTGCATGGATGGAGTTGTAAACTAATTCTATTGATTTTTATGTAGTAAAAGTTTAGGACTGCAAATCAAATTTTTTTTAAAAAACGGAGAAATGGTCTTAACTGCTGGATCATTAATTATAACCTTCTTCCTTTAAGTATGCTGTGGAGTCTCAAATTCGGCTTAATGGACTGGACCCTCAGGAAAGCATGCTTCTGCTGTCTCCGAGAGAGGTTTGTGTTGGTTTTCTATTGAAGAGCTAATGTACCGTTTATCTTTTGATGGAATGGGGTCGCAGAGGTAATATTCGCCAAATGAATATGAGTTGCTGATTGGCAATTGCAATGTGAATACGTATGAAGCATAAACTGGCAAAGTGCAGAAATAAAAAGGGAACCAAACATGGGCCAGAAGCAGTGTGTGTGGTTTCTTGCCAGCCTACTCTCCCCCACCCACTCCCCCCACTCCCACCCACAGACCTTGCTCCTTGGCCATTTCCTTGCAAATCTAAACTTGAATCTAGTTCGGAAATAACAATTTTTTTGCCTATCTTCAAATATCTCTTGTAACGTCACAACTGAGCATTGAGCAAGTGCTCTAAAAAAAATTCCACTGCAATATAAGCGTGGGCATTTTTTTGTAGACTGCCAAGCATATAGACAATTTATAAACAGTTTATAGATCCCCGAACAGCAGTCACAGTATTGCGCAGAGTATTAACCAGGAAATTAGTGGAGCATGTAGCAAGGGAAATACACTAACAGTGGGTGATTTTAATCTTCATATAGATTGAGAAAACCAAATTGACAAAAGTAAGTTAGAGGAGGAGTTTACAGAATGCATTGGAGATGGTTTTATAGATCAGGATGCTGAGGAACCAACCAGAGAACAGGCTATCCTAGATCTTGTTTTATGTAATGAAATACGGCAGGGGTTTCACTTTATGGGCCACTGGCACCAGTATTGGTGGAAAAGGGAGCTATTCCATAGAGATGGGCTCCACCTAAACCGGGCTGCGACCAATGTACTGGCAAAACGAATAAATAGGGAGGTAGGCAGAGCTTTAAATTACTAAGGGGGTGGGGTGGGGGGTGGGGTTTGAGAGAAGGCTACAGTTACAGGTAAAAGTAAACCAGCAAAACTAAGAACGATGAAGCGAGGGAGATAAACAGAGTGTGTCAAGAGGGATAAGAAGCTCAGAAAAGAAAATAGGGCATCAGCGAGTAGTGGAAATAGCAAAAATTCTAAATTAAAGGCCCTATATCTGAATGCACAAAGCATTCGTAATCAGATAGATGAATTAATGGCACAAATAGAAACAAACGGGTGTGATCTAATAGCCATTACTGAAACGTGGTTACAGGGAGATCAAGCGTGGGAGCTAAATAGTCCGGGTATTCCGCATATAGGAAAGATAGGTAACATGGAAAATGAGGTGGGGGTGGGGGGGGTAGCCCTGCTAATAAAGGATGGGATAAAAACAATTGAGAGGAAGGATTTTAAATCAGAAAATCAGGATGTAGAGTCAGTATGGGTTGAATTACAAAATAACAAGGGGCAGAAAATGCTAGTGGGAGTAGATTATAGACCCCCAAACAGCAGTCACAGCATTGCACAGAGTACTAACCAAGAAATTAGAGGAGCATGTAGCAAAGGAAATACAACAACAACAACAACAACAACAAGATTCCATTTATAGAGCGCCTTTCACGTCAGGAGGACGTCCCAAGGCGCTGCACAGTTGGGTCATGACCCGAGCAGGGGGGAAATGGTCAGGGTGAGGGGAGGGAAGGGAGGGAGCGAGGAGGGGGAAATGGTCAGGGTGAGGGGAGGGAAGGGAGGGAGAGAGGAGGGGGAAATGGTCAGGGTGAGGGGAGGGAAGGGAGGGAGCGAGGAGGAGGAAGAGAGTCGAGAGGGGAGCTGAAGGCACGGCCAAAGAGAAAGGTTTTGAGACCGGCCTTGAAGGAGGAAAGGGAGGAAGCAAGGCGAAGGCACTGGGGAGTAGAGTTCCAGAGCCTGGGGGCTGAGAGGCTGAAGGCCCGACCACCGATAGTAGGGCGGTTGGTGCGGGGGACGTGGAGCAGACCGGAGCCAGAGGAACGGAGGGTACGGGCAGGTAGGTAGGGGGATAGTAGGTTGGAGAGGTAGGAGGGAGCAAGGCCGTGAATGGCCTTGTAGGTGAGGATGAGGATCTTGAAATCAATCCTCTGGGGATGGGGAGCCAGTGGAGGCGAGCGAGGGTGGGAGTGATGTGGTCGCGAAGCCTGGTGCGGGACAGTACACGAGCTGCAGAGTTCTGAATGACCTGCAGCTTGTGGAGGGAGGTGGCGGGAAGGCCGGCGAGGAGAGAGTTCCCATAGTCCAGCCTTGAGGTGACAAAGGCGTGAACCAGGGTTTCAGCGGCGTGAGGGGTGAGGTAGTGCCGTAATCTGGCGATATTCCGGAGGTGATGGAAGGCGGTGCCAGTTGTGGTGCGGATGTGAGGGAGAAAGGACAGCTCAGGGTCGAACAAAACGCCGAGGTTCCTGACTGGCTTTGAGAGGTGGATACACAGATAAATACACAGATAGAGGGTGATTTTAATGTTCCTATAGATTGGGAAAACCAAATTGGCAAAAGTAAGTTAGAGGGGGAGTTTACAGAATGCATTAGAGATAGTTTTCTAGATCAGTATGCTGAGGAACCAACCAGGGAACAGGCTATCCTAGCTCTTGTTCTATGCAATGAAATAGGGCTAATCAGCAATCTGGAAGTTAAGGCTCCTCTAGGTCAGAGTGACCATAACATAACGGAATTTAGCATTCAGTTAGAGAGTGATGTAGTTAAGTCCAAAGCAAAGGTCTTAAATTTAAATAGAGTCAACTTTGCAGCTATGAGAGAGGATTTAGCTAAAATAGACTGGGGAATTAGATTAAAGGATATGACAATAGACCAGCAATGGCAAATCTTTAAAGATATAGTACATAATTCCCAGTGATCACTTATTCCCTTGAGAAATAAAAATACCACGGGAAAAGTGGTTCAGCCATGGCTAACTAGAGCAGATAGGGGAAGTATAACATTAAAAGAAGAGACCTATAACACTGCCAAAAGAGCACTAAACCCAAGGATTGGGAGGGCTTCAGAGACCAACAAAGAAAAACTAAGAAAATGATTAGGAGGGAGAAAATGGATTATGAGGGCAAACCAGTTAGAAACATAAAGACAGACTGCAAGAGTTTTTACAAATACATAAAGAGGAAGAGATTAACAAAAGTGAATGTGTGTCCATTACAGGCAGAGACAGGATGAATTATAATGGGGGATAAAGATATGGCAGAGTCATGAAACAAATACTTTGCTTCTGTCTTCACGTTAGAAGACACTGAAAACTTACCAAAAATAGAGGGGAGCCAAGAAGCTAATGTTAGTGAGCAACTTAGGGAAATTAACATCAGTAAATAATTAGTACAAGGGAAACTGTTGGGATTGAAAAATGACAAATCCCCTGGACCTGATGGCCTGCATCCTAGAGTTTTAAAAGAGTGGCTACTGAGATGGTGGATGCCTTTTTTTTGAGGATTCTGGAATGGTTCTCTGGATTGGAAGATCCCAAGCGTAACACCACTATTTAAGAAGGGTGGGAGGGAGAAGATGTGGAATCTGTAGACCAGTCTGTCTGACATCGGTGGTAGGGAAAATTCTGGAATCCTTAATTAGGTACGTTGTAGTGGGGTACTTAGAAGACCATAACGTGATTAGGCAGAGTCAGCATGGCTTTACAAAAGGGAAGTCATGCTTAACAAATCTTTTAGAGTTTTTTGAAGATGTAACTAGCAGGTTAGATAGGGGGGAACCAGTAGATGTAGGATATTTAGATTTTCAGAAGACATTCGACAAGGTGCCACATAAAAGGCTGCTGCACAAGATTAGGGCCCATGGAATTAAAGACAATATATTAGCATGGATAGAAGAGTGGGTAACGGGAAGAAAACAGAGAGTAGGAATAAACGGGTCCTTCTCAGATTGGCGGGATGTAACTAGTGGAGTGCCACAAGGATCAGTGTTTGGGCCTCAACTATTTACAATCTATATCAAAGATCTAGACGAGGACATAGAACTTAAAGTATCTAAATTCGCAGATGATACTAAGCTAGGTGGGAGAGTAAGCTCTGAGGATGACACAAAAAGATTGCAAAGGAATATAGATAGGCTAGGTGAGTGGGCAAGAAGGTACAGTCAATATACAGTCAATTCACTTTACAGTGTGTTCTGTGAAGCGCTTTGGGACGTCCTCCTGACGTGAAAAGCGCTATATCAAATGCAAGGATTATTAAGGTGGCAGATGGAATATAATGTGGGGAAATGTGAAGTTATTCACCTAGGTAGTAAAAACAGACGAGCAGATTATTTTCTAGAGGGGAGAGACTAGATAGTGTTAGTGTTCAGAGGGATTTGGGAGTCCTTGTACACCAGTCACAGAAAGTTAGTATGCAGGTACAGCAAGCAACTAGGAAGGCTAATGGCATGTTGGGGTTTATTGCAAAAGGGTTACAATTCAAGAGTAGGGAAGTCTTGCTACAACTGTATAGGGTTTTGGTGAGACCACACCTAAAATATTGTGTACAGTTTTGGTCTCCTTATTTAAGAAAGGACATACTCACCTTAGAAGTGGTGCAGCGTAGATTCACTAAGTGATTTCCTGTGATGAGGGGGTTGACCTATGAGGATAGGTTGAGTAAACTAGGCCTATATTCTCTAGAATATAGAAGAATTAGGGGTGGTCTTATAGAAACATATAAGATTCTTATGAGGCTTGACAGCGTAGACAGTGTGAGACTGTTTCCCTTGGTAGGAGAATCTAGAACTAGGGGTCACAGTTTTAAGATTAAGCAACAGCCCTTTCGAACAGAATTGAGGAAACACTTCTTCACTCAGAGGGTAGTGAATTTATGGAATTCTCTACCTCAGAAGGCTGTAGATGCTCAGTCCTTGAACATATTCAAGAATGAGGTTGATAGATTTCTAGAAGATAGAGGGATTAAGGGATATGGGGATAAGGCAGGCAGATGGAGTTAGGTTCGAAGATCAGCCATGATCTTATTGAATGGCAGGGCAGGTTTGAAGGGCCAAATGGCCTACTCTTGCTCCTAATTCCTTTGTTCCTATTTTCCTATGTGTGCAATTTGAATTTCGGAGTTTAAAACCTTATCAGCGACAGATTATATGGTCAATGTAAATTACATCTGTTCTATAAATGTCCCAAAATGTTAAAATGAATAATTCATCTTAGAGCACACATAAAGGAACATTGAGGAAACTATGACCTTACTGATAATGTAGTGGTGCTGAGTGAATAAATCTGATTGCATGTGGGAGGCTAGTAAAATTGAATCTTGTCGCCATTAAATGGCACTCAAGCTGTTTTATTCGCGCAATCCAAAGATTCCCTCACCCCTACACCTCCCCTCCGCTATGCTCGGGCCCCGGCACCTGACTGTTCAGTGCTTTGGGACGTCCTCCCGACGTGAAAGGCGCTCTATAAATGTAATTTTGTTGTTGTTGAGGTCATTCTGCATGTTCAGGTGGATGTTAAAGCTACTATTGGCAATATTTAGAAGGAAGCGAGAGTTCCTTTCAGTGTCTTGGCTAACCCTCTCACATAAAATTGGTCATTCGTTTCATGGCTGTTTGTGGGACATTGCTGTGCAAAAAATTGGCTGCTCCACTTGCCTACAAAATACACAGTTACTCCACTTTACGATGTTTCCTGTGAAGCGCTTCGAGATGTCCTCCCAACACGAAAGGCGATCCACAAAATGTAAAGTGTCATTATTTTCCAGACCATTATGCATTGTACTTTTAATGTAGTTTGCAAGGAGACTGCAGTAAATCTGTAACCTAGCAATTATGTCGCGAAGATTTTTGAATTCTTCTTTGGACATCCTAAGAGATAATGCTCTGCTGTACGTTTATCTTTCAAATTCTCACTGGACAAAAAAACATTTCGGTTTTCTGCAGCTTTTAAAAAAATATCAGAATGTGTCTGGCATCTATCACCACTATTTTCATTAACCAAACAAGATTAAGAGAGTGATTTAAAAAAAAGTGGCTTTGGTTTTCATGTGAGATCTGCCCAAAGATTACTTTTCTCCTGCAGCTTGCATAATCAGAACTGTAAATGACAGTGAGATTGACGGGATTCAGTTCATGTTTCAATGAGGTCCAATTTGCACCATTTCTTAACAGTATTCCTTAATAAAGAACCCTAGTCTGACACTGTGGTGATTTCCTATGATAAACAGAAGTATGTCATGTGATTTGCTGCTATTACATCTACAACAACAACAACTTGCATTTATATAGTGCCCCTCATGCAGGTAGCGCCCCAGAGCGCTTGACAGTGGCGAAGCACGATGCCGAGCATCTAGGCTTGAGTGCGCCAACTCCCTGCTTGTCGGCCTTCCCAATCCTTCCCTCCACAAGCTGCAGATCATCCAAAAATCTGCAGCTTGTTTCCTCCCCTTTACCAGGCTGTGTGACTCTATCACCCCCATCCTTGCCCAGCTGCACTCATTCCCCATCCTCGCATTCAAGGCCCTCCACGGCCTTGCTCCTTCCTACCTCTGTGACCTGCTAACTCCTTATCAAGCTGTCCTCTCCCTCTGCTCAGCATGCACTGGCCTGCTCCAAACATCAGCAGTCGGCCTTCAGCTTCTCTGCCCCAGCCTTTCTGACTCCATCCCACAGTCGCTGTGTCGTGCTCGTTTTCTTGCTTCCTTCAAAGCACATCTCAAGACCTTCCTACTCCTGCCCTCCCTGATCTCCACCCCCCTTGATGCCAACTCCTGCTAGGTTCCAAATCCCTGACTGTCCAGTGCCTTGGGATGTCCTCCCTATGTGAAAGGCGCGGTGCAAATGTCATTTGTTGTTGTTGTAGAGAAGAGTTCCAGTGGTTCAATGGGATGCTTTATGGAATTCATTTTTTGGAAATTCTGTTTCACAAATGCAGCACCAATTTGTATTCAGCAACGTCTCACAAACAGCCATGATGCAAATGATCAATTCCCTTTGGGATATTCTTCGCCAGAAAACTTCTTTCTTTTTTTGAATCCAATATTGCCAATGGGATTTTTTAACATCCACCTGATCAGGCAGACTGAACCTTGCTTTGTTAATATAATACACCCTAAACACTTCACTGACTCGAATGTCAACCTCGATTATAGATTTAAAGTACTGATGTGAGGCTTGAACCCACAACTTTCTGACTTGGAGAGAGACAAATGAGATGCCAACTGAGCCCGGCTGACCTATTTAAAGCTTGAGGGGATCGAGAGAGAAGAATTCAGAGGAATATTGACCATTAGTAGTAATATGATTAAAATAGAGGAAGACAAAGACACAGATAGAGAGAGAGAGAGAGAGAGAGAGAGAGAGAGAGCATTGAGGGGGGAGATTAGGTTGTTTATCATTTATTCAGGAGGGGGAAAGAGATACTGAGAGCATTATTCAAGTCTTGGAAAAACATGGACATTAAAGCGTTTTACATTGGCTACCAAATATATAGCTACTGCACTTGACAGCAATGTTCTGTGAGTGCTTTGAGACATTGTGATACGATAGACACTATATCAAATGCAAGGCTTATGATTATTACCAACAACAAAAAATAAATTGGTTACTTCAGTCCACAACTGTTGGTGGGACACTGCTGTGTGCAATTGGCTGCCGGGTTTCTCCCACAAAATATACATTCGATTTACTTAACAGTACATTCTGAGAAGCGCTTTGTGACATCTCAAATACGTGATTAAGATGCTATATCAAATGCAAGGATTATTAATAGTATTTATTATCCACCTTCAAATCTCTTCTTCCTTATTGCATCGTTATACGTCCTCCCGACGTGAAAAGCGCTATATCAAATGCAAGGATTATTATTATTATTATTATTATGAACATTGCAGAATCTTGTGAAATGCAAGCAATCAGCAATTTGAACTCGACTTTGCATTAATCTAATACTGCGCAGTACAGCATTTTAATACCGATGAGGTGTTGCATCTGCTGCTGTATTAATCCACCCACACTTTCTATCCCCTTGATACAGATCAGGCAAGTGCATCATATCAAGCCTTTTTTCAGACTTCTCCCCCCCAAAAAAGCTAATGAGATAAAGTATTTTAATAACACAATCTACAAACTGTCACCTACTGTGGTGTTCTTTCATTCTGGGAATATTTTTTTGGGAGCTGACGATTATAAATCCTGCAGCTCTGCAGAGAGGGTGGATCATTGGGTGATATGTCACTTCTTCCTCATTTAACATCCCCCACAGCTTAAGTTACCAACAGAGACATACACCCTTTGACATGTCTTTGGCAGCAGGATTCCAGGTTACAGCCACGTGATTTTACATTCCATGTAAAGTCGCCTCCTCAAACTGACTCATCAGTTAATTTCTTTCTTGTCAGCACTGTGTGGCCCTTGTCTACTGCTGTTTCTATGTGGAACGTTCCACTGCGATTTTGTTTTCCTCGTGTTGCGGGTGGGGGCAGGATAAAGGAAGGAATCCATTTACTTGATGTTATCCTTTTTTTTCATATTTTCATCTGTCAAGGCTTGGTAATTTTTTCTATTTCCTATCAAAAATAACAGAAAACACCACTGATATTTGTGCTTTAAGTACTTTCTCGAATTGTCAAGTACTATTTTTTTAAAAAAAGCTGTGGGAATTTGGTAGTAGAACCAAAACTGCAGCCTAAAGTGTTAGCTATGAAAGCCACATTCTTTTTCCAGGGAGAAGAGACCCTCAGAATGGAAGACATTCTTTCGACAATAGAGAAAGAAGGAAACTCTATTGCTGTGATCATGTTCAGTGGAGTACAGTACTATACTGGGCAGCTGTTTGACATGGCTTCAATAACAAAATCGGGACATGCAAAGGTGAGTTAAATAGATCGACAGTCAAGAGAAATTGAACAATTGCACTTAATTTTTTTTCATTTTTCAACTTTGTCCAATTCTATTTGACTCGTATATTTGCCATCTTTGCTATATTTATATCATCTGTGCCTCTTAGCATTTTAAAGACATGGATTATGTCCCCCTTGAACATCTTTATTCTAATGAATACAAGTTTCTGAGTTGGAAGGTTGTGGGTTCAAGCCCCTTGTCTGGAGTTTGAGCTCACCATACTGAACTCCGTTGCAATGCTGGGGGTGTTTTGGATTGTTGGAAGCACCAACCTTCAAGTGAGATGTTAAATCTGTTTGCCTCTTCAGTTGGAATCTACAAATGCCATGGCACTATTTGAAAAAGAGAAGGGAGAGATGGGATAAAATCTAGTCACTCGCTTCAAGGCTGTGTATTGTACATTACTGTGCACAAATTTGGCTGTGGCATTTGCCTACAAGTACATAATAAAACAGCATGTGAAGTGCATTGAAACCTTTCAACAATGTGGTAACGTGCTATAATCAAATACAAGGATTAATATCAACCTAATCACTTCCTCAAACTTTTCTTGACTCGAAAGTGCTACATTGCTCTTCTCCAATGCTTGTTTGGCCTTTCAAGTTAGGAGTATATGCAAAACTCCATATATATGTAGAACAATTGCTTTGGTCATTATGATGTGTACAAATGGCGGCATTTTGCATTGACATTTTGAATGTCCTTTAAGCACCATGATTGATTATATACAGTAAACAAATCTGCAGATTTAGTTGTGTAAAAATGCAGTGCAGCTGTAAAGATTCCTGACTGATAGTTGCAGTTGGCTACTTTCTTTTGTGATACGTTAGCAACGGAAGAAGTTTACTTGTGTTAGAAATGCAGGTTGAAACTGTCTTAAATGTTCTGTGCACAAAAACAAGTCCTATAAGTATACATCAGAATGCTACAACTGGGTAGATAATCTTGGTGATGCTGCTTTTAATTCTAAGACTTTCAGCATCTTAATTCTCATCTATATATACCCAGAGAGTTTAAATTATTTTACTGTGCTTTGCCCATCAGATTCTTTTATCCTCTGGTTATTTTTTGCTGCAGGATTAAGCACTTTTTTGTCTATTTTGCTCCTGACGAATAGTGCTGATTTTTGATGAGTAAAAGTGACCACACTTCATGTGTAAGAGGCTATTAGACCATGGGTGACATAAGAATATAAGAATTTACTAGGTGAAAGAAGACCAAAATCCATCTAGTTCGCCAGCCACAATCCTGGCAGTCGCTTGACATGTCATATCCCAAACTATATACTGTATACTGAGATATTAGTTTCTAGGAGAAATCCATTCAATTTGTTCTTGAAACAATTACATTTTCTGCTTCCACTGTCTCCCTAGAGTGTCTGTTCCATAAGTTTACTACTCGTTCACTGAAGTAGTGTTTCCACAGTTTTGTTCTGAATTTACCCTCACCTCAATCTCAGACCATGTCCTATGGTTCTACTGTTTAGTACAAGATAAAAAAGCTTGACATAAGAGCCAAGTCTGATTTTATCCATACTTAATATCCCATCTACACATGTGAATTTTCTGTCAGTAGTTCACTGGTAAGAATCAGCATTCCTGTCTAATTTTGTGGTTCTCTTTGGTACCCAGGTGAATTACGGTAGTAATATCTAGTAGTCCTCTAGCATATATGGAGCCCTGCAGAGTATTGATTAGAGCACTCATCTCACAACCGGGTTTGATTTCCGGGCAGTGCAAATCCTTAGTCCACACAAATCTGTTGACCTAACAGTAAGTAGGAACTGGTTATTACTCGATAGGTGGATCATTTTTCCAGGGGTAATAATCCCTAAAAAATTCAAATGAATAATAAACTAAATGCGGCAGTCAGTTGCGCACAGCAATGTCCCACGAACAGTCGTAGATTGAGTGACAAAATTATTATTATCATTTTTTGGAGTCCTGTAGCTCAGTGGTTAGAGCACTCGCTTTGCAAGCGAGAGACCTGAGTTCAATTCCAGGCAGAGCGAAACCTTGGGCAAGTTTCCTTACTCCACACAGAGCCTAATAATAATCCCTCCAAAACCAAAAACAATAATAAAAATTGGTCATTTTCAATCTACAACTGTTTGTGGGACATTGCTGTGCGCAATTGGCTGCCGCGTTCGCCCACAAATATACAGTCAATTCACTTTACAGTGTGTTTGTTCTGTGAAGCGCTTTGGGACGTCCTCCCAACGTGAAAAGCGCTATATCAAATGCAAGGATTATTATTATTATTATTATAATTTGATAAGTATCAAAACCCTTCCCAGAATCATTTTAAAAAATCTGAGATTAAGGATTCAGTAAAGCAATTGCTACCTCAGATAGCACCAACACCTGACTGGGGAAAATTCATTCCAACTCTTTGTAAAGAACACACAAAGTACCATTTCAGCATCAGAGATCTGCTTTTAACAAGCATGAAAAATAAAAAGTAAATGAGAATTTGCTACTGTTTACAGACACAATCACAAACACAGGTCAGGAACTGACACTTAAGTGACACTCCCTCTGATATATTTTCTAAAAAGGAATTACATATATTTAAAGTGGAATTGTTTCCTTGTAGGGTTACAGCATCTACACATTGTTCCACAAATAAACTCACAAAGTTCATATGCCGAGTAATGTTTACATTCTGTGGTTTCGTATTCTCTGTAGCCAGGAAGGCAACATTCATATAGTGAAGCTTTCACCACATCCACACATTTCTTGAATGTTCAGATTATTGAAAATAAATTCAGTGGAAAGTTTGGTTTCGATAAAATCCATTTCAATTCCCAGCAACGTGAGCTGTGCCTTCTGGTCAATAAAAACACGCACACCATCTTGATTTACTTCCTCTGCAAACTTTCCCTTCTCTTTTGAATAATCTATGACATAGGAGAGGCCACCGCAACCACCTTTAAACCTTTACTTCCAGGTTTATCATTCAGCAGATTTTTCAATCTGTTGACAGCAGATGGTATCAGCAGTATCGCGGCTCTGGATGGCACCAGTCGCTGTTTACTTGCCACCCGGACGGTCGCCCTCAGTGCCACGGCTGTCATCCTCCCGCAAAAAACAGTCAATTCACTTGTAGTATATTCTGTGAAGCACTTTGAGACGTTTCAATGATGTGATAAGGTGCTATATCAAATGCAAGTATTATTACTATTATTATTACGTTCAATTCACGTCAGGAGGACGTCTCAAAGCGCTTACTATAAAACATAACAAATGTGTATTTATTAGGCAAACCCGTAGCCCTACAATTGCTGCTCCTTCTGAGATCAGTTAACTCAGCAGAGAATGGAAATGAAACCTACAACTTCCTGATTGGTTGGATCAATGCAACACCATATATTACTGCAGTATTTGAAATGAAATGAAGTTTTAGGGGACCTTATACATTGCTTTCCATGTGCCCTTATAGTTATAGCGTAGCTCTTGGGAGCAAGTGATAAAGGGAGGAATGAAGGCTGTCTTCAGATTCTCCATCACTAAAAATGGATTAAGTCCACGCCCATATTGTTAACAACTGGCATGTGCATAGACCTAATCCATTTTTAAAGTAACATATTATTTCTGTGAACACTCTAAATAATTAACACATCCTTATTTCTTTTCTGTGTAAGGGATCTTTTCAAGTCTTTGATTTCGCCTGCTCAAAGATTTCTACTGTTTTACATTTTTAAATGGTTTGATAACTTAATCATCACTGGATTTGATATAACTCCTCATCACGTCATTGAGAGGTCTCGAAACTCTTCACAGGATTTACTGTAAAGTGTAGTGACCATGCATTGTGTAGGCGATCGCAGCAGCTAATTTTCTCTCTGGAACTGGGAGAACTGAGAAGGGACCTGATGGACGTGTTTTAGATTATAAAAGGAGATAAAAGATTTGTAAGGTGAGCATTGTTTCACTTGTTGGTGAGTCCAAAATAGTGGGTATGTATATCTATCTAAAATGGCTAATCACAGAACTAATAGGGAGCTCAGAAAGTATTTCTTCATGCAGAGGTTGGTGAGAATATAGAACTGCCAAAAGCTGTGGTTGAAGCTAAAAACATCAAATCATCTAAGAGGAAACTTGATGGATACATGAGAAGGAAGGGTTGTAGGAGGATTCAGGAATCATTTGGTGTATAAAAACGAGCAGTGACTATTCTCTGCAATTCTATTTAATACCCACGCACCATATTTCTCTGCATGTCCATGCTTGTGAATGAATTGCTCGTTGGAACCCATGCCAAACCCTTTAATGCAGTGCATAACAGAAAGATTAAAAACAGACAAAAATGAATTATGCATAAGAATCTATGTAATATTGTTCTTATAGGATTTTCCACATTATCAGGGGTATTATCAGGGGTACAATTTTTGCAGGCTCATACTTTAATGTCCTTTATGCCACATGTCTTTAGAATCATCTTGTGCTCATTACTGAACATCTGCATTAGCCGTTTCTGTACATGACATATAACGCATAGTTGACTAAATTCAACTTCATGGCACAATGCATATTTTCCCAATAATTCAACACTACGTTATTACACAGTCCATTACATGTCCTTACCACCCCTTTCATAATGTGTTACAGTGCTGCATTGAGCAGCAATAACTCATGCCCTTTGCAACAAAGAGAAAGATTGATGTGTCAACGCAATGCCTGTGCTGCCTACATTCATTTTGTTTTACACAACGCTGGTTTATGCTCATCACTGTTTGCTAATTGGATCACACTGTATAGCTGCATGTGTTTGAAGCGGCAGTGCATTATTTCTTGTTACTCAAGTAGCAACAGCAACAACTTGCACTTATATAACGCCCTCCACATAGGGTAGCATCTCAGTGTGAGCTTAACTGTGGTGGAGCCTGACTCCAAGCCGGTGGGGGGGGTGGGGAGGGGCGGGGAGGGGAGGGGAGGGGGAAGATGGCCATAAGCAGGTTGAAGAGGAAG